AAGGAAAAACCTAAGGACTCTAGTCACAAATCAAAAGTTCAAAAATTCTAAATACATACGAAGCAAGCTGAAACATCCACAGTATATAATTGCATGACTTCCTGTACTGATAAACCTCTGCAGATCCCTACGTGAAGATTCATCTTCTGCAAAACGGCAAGCGGCTGAAGAAGAAGAAGACAACTGTGAAGAAGAACACACTGAACCCATACTACAACGAGTCCTTCAGCTTTGAGATCCCACAGGACCAGATGCCGGTACGCTTTACACGGCTCAACACAAGAGTTTTACATTTCCATGCTCCTTCAAACTTTAAGCGCAATATCTGTTTTTTCTCCCAGAAAATACAAGCTGTGATCACGGTGCTCGACTACGATAAGATCGGCAAGAACGACGCCATCGGGAAGATCTGGGTGGGCAGCAGAGCGCAGGGCACTGAGCTCCGGCACTGGTCCGACATGCAGGCGAACCCACGCAGGCCCATCGCTCAGTGGCATCCACTCAAACCCGAGGAGGAGGTGGATGCCACATTAGCAGCCCTCACTGCCAAGAAGTAATCCTGTTCTTCTTCCTTCCCTCCCTCTCTCCTTTCCCTCCCCCTTTCCTGTCTTTCACTTTTCAACATGCACAACATGTCATCTTACCCAATCAGCACTGAATTACAGCCATGAGCCACAAGACTAGAGGTATTAAAGAAGACCAGCTCAAATGAGACTCTTTCCACAGATGTTCCTGAAGAAAGGCCGAGCTCAAAGGTGTGTATATCCTTGAGGTTTATTCACAGAAGAGATGTAAGCTCACAAATATCCAAAAGCATTCCAAAGTTTTCCATCGGGGACCATGGATAGAAAACACTGCCTCTTCCACTGCCTAATTTAACACATTCCTTCTAGATTCTCTGGTCATCTAGATGAAATCAGTTCTGTTACTTTTGTTGAGTCTGAAAGGACAGTGAAGAATTAATTAAAAAATAAAAAAGTGGGAACTGGAGAGCTAGTTGGACTCGATGCTCCTGCCCAGCCAGAAGGAATCTTTCAGATGTCGATTACACTGCCTGCAAAACAACCTCTTCTTCCATTCTTCAGTTCCAGCTGTCAGCTGGCTTCTTCCACTGCCCAACATCCTAACAAACCCTGACAAAAAGGAGACAAGCCTTGAAACATCATGAAATAAGCAATTCTTAGCTGCCAGGGACATCTTCCTGTTAGCATCGGTGTATTGGTTTCTTTGCTTTGATTTCTTGTGGTAAATGTATTCTGCCTGAGCACTTTAAATGAAGGTGTGTTTTTGTTCCAGTCAATGGTTCGTTTTCAACCTGCTTTTATTGTTACTTGCCGTTTTTGATGTTCTGAATCCTGTTCACCAAAAAAATGAAAATCAAGTCATCATTTACTCACTTTTCTTTCTTACGGCAGTGGAACACAAAAGGAGGTATTTCAAAGAATGTTCATGCTGCTCTCTTCCATACAATAGATGTGAATGGTGACCAAGCTTAAAAAAATACTTCTGACTTCATATGATCTGACAGACTAAAATTGTACAAAAATCTTGTTTGACTTGGAAAAGAGCAGTGTGAACAATCTTCAAAATGTCTCCTTTTGTCTTTTACGGAAGAAAGAAAGGAATGCCATACGGGTTTCGAAAAACGAGTGAACTATTCCTTCGAGAACTACCATCACTCTTTGTTTTCATGTTTTATTCTTGGTTTAAACCAGAAGTTATGGTTTCAAGAGAAGAGCTGATAGAAGGCAATGTTATGTGTGTATTTAACTGCACATCTTACCAAACCGCTGAACTTATTTGCACTACTGGAACTGCATTCTGTACATATTGCTCTGTCAATCTCAATACATGCTTTTGTGATGGTGCATTCTTGAGACAAGTTTGCATGTGTTTAAAAAAGGGAGCTTGTATCATTTGAAAGCTGCTTTAGGGCTTACAGTACGAGTCTTTGTGTGAGGATGTGAATCTCAGAATATAATTTTCCTCATATTTCCTGGAGAAACTCTTTTGGCAATGATGATACCTTCTGATATTTGTTCAATTATTAAGTAATGGGAAATTAAGCAAAATTGCAAGCCTGAATTGGATCAAAACTTTTTTGGAGCATTGTTTATTGAGTAGAGATTTTTAAACCAGGCCAAAAACTACATGTAGAGAGCCAAGAATGGATTTGAGGGAGACTTTGTTGTGCACATGCTGTAACCCGATTAAAAACAACTCCTTCTCATAAGGAAACGTCACTTTAGCAGCTTTTATCCTGCACCACTATCTCATCAATGTAACATTACTCTACTGCCACATTGAATCGTCATTTTTCCAGTTACTTTTAGGGTTAAAATGAAAAGTCGGTCATTGTAAAATTTGAAACATGTATGAGTTTCTATCAAAAGCACAATAAAAGTAATTCTACTCATGCTTTATATTCAAAGTCTTCAGAAACCCCATAGCTTTAAATTTAAATAGATCACCCAAAAGTGAAAATTCTGTCATCATTTACTCACCCTCATCTCATTCCAAACCTGTATGATTTTTTTCCCTTCTGTGTAACACAGAAGATGATATTTTAAAGACTGTTTTGTTTTTGTCAATTCAGTTAAAGTCAGTGGGTTCCAAAACAAGATTGGACCCCATTGACTTTCATTGTATGCGGAAAATAATGTCTTTCAAAATGTTTTCTTTTGTGTTCCACAGAAGGAAAGTAATACGAGTAAACAATAACGGAATTTTCCATTTTGGATAAACATTCCATTTAAGTTTTAAAGTTTTAAATATTGGCAGTTGAAGCCATTTAGTGTCATTCAAACGTAAAAATATCTGAAGACTGTTGACAGAATGTTCATTTAAAAGTCGCTTCAGTGACATTTCCCGTATGAGGTTCCCCTGGATAAAACAGAAGCTGCTCTTCTGACAGGCTGTGTTCAGTTGCAATAACTCTGTTGTTCGATTGTGAAATAGCAGGTATTTCCATCCACATTCACAGTGCAGTTTGACATTTTCATGTCTTTTTGCAGGTCTAATGAATGTGTGGTTATTTAACATTTGTTTATGTGACATCGTGCTTCTAGTATCGTATCGAAACCTATTTTTTTTACTCTGTTATTGTTCTGTACACCATTTGTTCTGGTGTAATTTCTCACACAGATGTGTCCCTTATTTTGAAGAACTTTCACAAAAAAATTGCAACTCGCAACTAACACCCCCTCCCCAAACCCATAGGCGTGTAGTTTGACCTATATATGCATAGTTCCTACTTTATGATACTGCATGTTACAGTACAAAAAGATGCGCATGTTTCAGAGATGAAGCAAAAAATATAGTGTGTACCTAAGTAGGTGTTCTTTGTCATTTTAATAACATAACAGAGGGGGATAAATACTGTGTATATTTTCTAATCAAATCAAATATGTATTTATTTTCTGTGAGTGGGTACTGGAGAGAATATGAAGTACTATACTAGACTAATCTTCATTTTCAAATTCAATCCATGCCTGGACATCATGAGCAGATACTGTATGTTAAGTGCTTTGTGTGAACTAATATAGAATGAAAACGTAGCCGCATGCTTGCCGTCTACTAATATTGTTAAGGAACAAAATTATTATGTATTTATTTATTTATTTGAAATCAGTTATTTATATTTATTTTTCAGAGTAATATTTGTATGTGTCTTTGTCAGAATACGTTCGTGGGAAGTCAAAACTTCCAGCGGGGGCTCCAAGTGGATCTTTTCCCCCATCTTGTAGGATCCTGTAATCAGCAGAGTATCTCTGTTGGAACTACGATGTAAAGTTTTGGATCATACAGAACCATTATGAAAAAAGTACACTTTATTATCATTTTTCGTCTTTTTTTGCTGTCAGTGCCAATGAGAAAAGTCACGTTTACTGCCATTTTAGCTGACTTTACGTCATTCTTACGTGATTTTTTCGGACCAACTGATTTCTACCGTGGCAACAAAGTTGCCGGAGCACAATACTATCAGTCGTGTTATAGAAAACTTGGAGTCCCCATTGTTTTCTAAAAAGCTTTTATTTATGAATCTTTTACATAAGAACAGCGTTTAACTAGCCAATAAACCGTAAGTTTGTGTGTGCGAGTGTGAATAAGATAAAGCCATAAGACTTGAGCGAAATCTTTGGAGCTCAGCTATATAGATGACCCTAAAACGTCTCCTCCTTTCATAGGCCGATGAATCTCCTCAACATTCCACATAGTCTGTTTCCTAAGATGTGCTAAGTTAAGCATTATTGGCAGTCAGTCTTTCTGTTAATAATAATGTCTTTTTGGTGTTTTTTTATTGCGTTTATGATGATTTCAGTGTATATTGGGTTTTGTAAACGCCTTGATTTAACACAAAGTGTGCTAGGGACGTCTGTATGAACTTATACATGTGTTGTTGCCATTCCACTATGTATGTACACGCATGCATTTTTGGGCAAAGGGCAATTAAAACCGTTTAACTATGAGATGCTGTTTGTTTTTACCATTTTAATAATAAATCACAATCCAAAATGCAATATGGGATACTTAAAAAGTATATAATTTGGACATTCGGACAAGAAGATTGAACAGAACTGTGCAGAAATGCGGCTTATCCAAGTCATTTCAATCAGCATTGCTTGAAGTTTGAGTGTGAATGCGTGTGATTTTAATAATAATGCATAGGCCCTTTAAAAAGGAATAATCATTTGTTGGGAGTTACTCGAGCACTGCCATTCTGCCTGTATGGCAGAGTGCACAATGAACATTTATTTGAAACATTCCTGATCGTAAACCACGGAGTTGTTACTTGCAAGCAAATGTATTTGGGGGCAGTTTAAAAACTGCTCATGGATTCCGTCTATAAGTTGCTCTCCATTTACGAAACCAGCTCAGTTGTCTTTGTAACTCTCTGTGACTGTTTTATGTCATACAAATCAATGAGAGACTGCTCTAACGCCCACAACAGAGATGTTTTCATATATATTGTTTTTTTCGAATGCTAGCTGATGCATTTATGTCTGCTTTGGCGTAATCACAAAGTTCTGGGGATAAAAGAATCAAAAGCCTGCCATTGTGTCTCTTTAATTAGATTCTTCTGTTGCACTTTTCATTCTGCTTATCTAGAGTTGTAAAATGCTCTTTTTCTATTTGTATCTATTTGTGATCAGTTTTATTTCTTCTTTAGTCGGTGGGAGATTGTGAGGGTTTGTCCCTCAGGCTATGTTTGTACCTGTTTCGGTGTTCTCGTGTGCGCGTGTGTTCATGTCCGTATTGTCGTGCCTAGTGTGGATCAATCGCATGCTTTAGCCCTTGATGGGACACTTTGAGAAAACATTGCTCACAGACTCTTCCCACAACCTCCTAGTGGACAGTACATGAGTATCAGCAATCCTTGTAAAGACGTCAAGGGAACCAAATAGCTCTACAGATTTACCATGCGTGTTACCAGCTCTGTACTGAAACAAATGAGAAAATAAAGGCCTTTTAATTACGCTTAACTCTGGGTGTGGTGTTGATGTGTCGTATTTAACACTGAATTCCTTCTGTTTGCTTTATTTAATTTTGACCTACAATTACAGCTCTGATGGTGTAAGCCTTGTTTTGTGGTTTCAGAAGCAGATATTTAATAAAAGGTTGTTAGAGTGACTTCAAAAACCTTATGTATAATATTACCATTAAGTATAATTTCCAAGTAGTAAGTACACTAATAGCAATGTACTATTTCAAACCTCTTGGGACTAAATTGGCCTATGTACTTTTAAGTGTATTTTAAGTCTAACAGTAGTAAACTTGGTTACCCAACTAGTTTATGACTAAGTGTTTCTTTAGTATCGCAACAAACTTTATGTATACTGTTAGTTTACTAGTTATATACTTCTAATCCACAGTCCATGAAAATACACATTGAAATACACTCAGAGTAAACTATTAGTTTAACAGTTTCTATGCTGCAAGTTTATATCACTATAAAGTATTATATTTACTAAGAGTATTCTTTAAAGCTGCAGTCCGTAACTTTTTTTGCATTCAAAATGTATATAATAAGCATGTAAACCATGAATCCATTTTCAAACCATGATTTTGGCTTATCCTGAATCACTACGCTACACCTATATTAAGTGTTTATAGTCAGACTATTTTAGACTGGTTCTGGTGGAACCGCTGCGGAGTAGCCCGGTACCTGCGTGATTTGTCATAGACATAAACAGAGAGAAGTAGCTTGTATTGAAAATAGTACAAGTATACTACTAGTATATGTATTACATAAAGTATACTTAGAAAATATACTTGAACTTTACTTAAAATTAAGACTTTATAGGTCTGATGAGAAATGGCTACTACTTGAAACTAAAATGGAAATGCATACTTGGCATTTCACATAAATGTCTACTATGTAGCCTAGTTCAGAAGCACACAAGAACACTAAAAACAAGACATATTTCAGTGAAATGTAAAATGAAAATGGTGGAACCTGTAGAATAGCTGTGATGATCGTACAGGCAGGCAGAGGGCAGCACTGCACCTACAAAGCCACTTGACTACATTTTTGGTATTTTACAGTGTGTTTTTAATACTCAGGCAAACAACAAAAAATCATAAACAAAGTGCTGTGAGCATTGGTTCAAGATTACAGGTTAAAAGCTGTGGACAATGAAAAACGAAGCATCTGAAAGAGCATATGTGTGATGTGTTTCTGTTTTATCCATATAGATACTCTTAATTACAAACAAAAGGCGATTGGGTCGACGTATCCATTCTTCAGCCCATCAGGTCATATATAAACACTACAAATGTAAAAGTAAACAGGACAAATGGGTTGACATGAGGAAAGTGACATCATCTCTCAGTGGGAACATTCCTTTTAGAATGTTTTGGCGGAGCTTCTGAAGATCAAACTGGACCAAATGACCGCTTCAGGATAATTCGATTTGATTGATGATCAAATACCATTTAAAGGAATGGCAGTTTGTTCAGCTTTTCCCTGCTGAAAAGACCAGAACAGTTGGTGACCAATGCTGTGGTTTGGCTGTTTATCCGTAATGTACAGGTGTTCCCACAAGGCTTCTTAACAAGCAAGAGTCTTCTAGTCAGCCAGCTTTATCAGAAACCTTGACCAGCCTCACAAACTAATTTTTGCTGGTCAAGAGAATATTTGTGCTGGTTCCACAGGGTGACTAGTGACAATCTAGTTAAAAAAAGGGGCTTTCCCACCAAAGAAGAACCACTTTGGGTTCCCCAAAGAACCTTTAAGTGAACAGTTCTTTAAAAAAAACAATTCTCTATAAATAACCTTTTGTGTAATAGAACATTTCCATGGATTTTGAAGGTTCTTCATGGAACCATCAATGCCAATAATGAACTATTATTTTTAAGAGTGTAATACTATTCTGAATAACCTTTTTCCACTATAAAGAACCCTTTGTGCAATGTAAAGGTTCCAAGGATGTTAGAGGTTCTTCGTGGAACCACTGGTGTCAATAAATAACCTTTATTTTTAGGACCTTTAAACCAGCTTGGACTAGTATGGACATGTATTGGTTTGTTTTGTTTTTTCAGCAGGGATTCTAACATCATCTATACTGATCCTGAAACATTTAGAGTTTAGAAAGGGCTGACATTGAGAAGCCATTCAATTGTTTGGGCATTTATGTGGGAGAAACCAACACTGTTCTTACAGTGCGATTGGAGTACCCTACTGCAAACACCAAGTCAACCCAGTGGTAAAACCAGTTAACTAATTCAAATTATGTTTTTGAACACTGTTAACCAACTCAGCCTGGCCTTCGCCAGCAAAAATGGATGAACAGCTCTTACTAAATCAGTTATGATGGTTGACCTCAGCTCCACTAGCTGGTTGTCCTGTCAGTCAACCACCTAAACCAGCTAGAAATGATCTAAATCTGGCTACCACCTTATTTTGTAAGAAAGTGGATACTTGCTTTCTTCTCTGGAAGGAACACAAAAGAAGATATTTTGAAGCATGTTGGTAGCCAACAGTTTTGGTGATGACTGACTTTCATTGTATGAACAAAAAAGATTGAGACATTCCTCAAAATATCTTCTTTTGTGTTCCAGAAAAGAAAGAAAGCCATACCAGTTTGTAACGACATGAGTAAATTATGACAGAATTTGAACTTTTTGGTGAGCCAACCTCTTTAACCCTGGAGTTGCTGCACCAAGAGCGGGTCAATGTGTAGTCAGTGTGAAGTTCTCAGTTTTGGTCTCTTTCTGTTCAGTATTTCTCCTCCCCTTTAACCGGTCGTCCTCACTTGGAAAGTTTGCTGATGACTCTGATTAAGGCTCCATTCTCATCTTTTAGCCGCTGGTTATCAGACTTGAGTTCTGTCAAAACCTGAGATTGATTAAAGATGAGAATGAGTGAGAAGAATGCATTCATTTACTTAATTATTTAGTGGTCATGTGGCATCAAAATTGCAGTGCCAATCTATAAAAGTTAAAATGGTTCTTCTAGACTAATACTATCTTAATCTCATGTGACAGTACTTCATAATAAAGCATGCAAACATTGCTGTATCATAACACCACAGAATATAATTTTCAAATAGGATTCCTTTTTAAAGGAATGGCAGTTGGCAGTGTCATGTGAATGTGTGCTCATGCATAGAGAGGTTCACCTCCTCCTACTCCAGTGAGTAAAAAAGCATTGCCAGAACTACAAAAGCTTTAACAGGAGAGCAAACCCAGCCACTCATGACTTCATATCACATCTTTCCAACCATCGGATACAACAACAAAGCTTTTTTGTCCTCCCTTTTAGAAATAACCAGCACACACACAGAGACTCGCAGCACTGTTGATAGTTCTGGCATTCTGAATATGAATAGGATGCAAATTGGTGTCCTGCTGTTTTTAAGCAATAAAGGCACAAATCCCATGTTTTTTAGAAATACAATTATTAGATATGTACGATAAATCATTATCTAACATAAGATTTACATAGCATGTAAATTGCATCAAAGATTTTGGCCTGTCAGTGGACTCTATCCTCTCAACTAAATCCAACAGTTAAAAATTAATAATGAATCATTATTTGTAAAATCAGCTGCTGAACTGCATTAAATTACTTGTGAAAATACTATCCATATTTTATCAAAAATATAACAATTATTTTCAATAATAGTTAACCCATATTTTGTACATTTTGTATTTTTTTTATTATAGTTTCATCTATTTAATTATTTTTATTTGTTTTATCTGTCATTTTTTATTGTTATCTGTTTTAATATAGACATCCAATCGTCTGTCATTTATGACCAGTGAGTTACATATTATATAATTATTCTATTTCAATTCTATTCATTTTTACAATTATGTTTTGTTTATTTGTATTGCTATCCATGTGTAATATAGGCATCCAATAGTATGTATGTCATTTATAACCAGGGAGTTAGATATTCTATTATTATTCTTTGTAATTTTATCAATTTTACTTTTTCAGTTTTGAAATTATTTTTATGCTTATTTTTTGTGTTTGTAATATAGGCAATCATTAGTCTGTAATGTCATTTATAATCAGCGAATTACATATTCTGTCATTATTTTTGTAATTTTATCATTTTAATTTCATTTTTTAAATTATAAATATGCTTAATTATTTATTATTATCTGTTTGTAATATAGGCATCCCATAGTCTGCAATGTCATTTATAACCAGTGAGTTACATATTCCATCACTATTCTATTTTTGTAAATGTACAAATTTTATTCATTTTAATTAAATTTTTAAAAAATATTTGTATGCCTACTTTTATAGCTATCTGTGTTTAATATAGGCATCCAATAGTCTGTGATGTTATTAATAACCAGTGAGCAGATGTGTTGACAGAGACTAGAATATGACACTACAGAGGCTGTGATTTGATCTGGACACTGCTGGAGTATAGAGACGTTTGGTCATGTGTTTGGAAGATCTATGAATATCTTCAAAGCCACCGCCTGCTGCAGAAATGTGAGGGGTTGCCCTTCCCCAGACCCAGGAGAGAAACAGGGAGAAAGAAAGAAGGAGCGAAAAAGCTTTACCAATGCAAAACAAAGGAATGAAACAGAGAGACCTGCCTGAGAGTTGAGCAGCAGCGGGACAGAGGAGGAAGACTACAGGGTGCAGCGGAGAACAGGAAGGAGGAAGGGACAGAGAGAGATAGAGAGGAGGACTAGAGGTCGTCCGTCTCGGGGAGAGAGGCCGTCTGAGTGAGGCGAGCGAGGGAGTGCAGCATGGCTTTATTCTCCTGTAGGAGGCGCGCGTTCCCCCTGCGGAGAGCCTGTAGCCGAGCCAGAGCGGGAAAGGTCTGGAGGTACAGAGAGGCCCGAAATCATGACAGCGCGAGTGAGAGAACATCAGAGAGGGTTTGGGAACAGTTACTTAAAACAAAGTCAACATGAAATCAAACTTTATTTTTACACATTCCTGGTCTTATTGTGTTTCTAATTCATCATTGCACATTATTCATGAGAAAAGTGTTCATCCAAATGTTACGGTGGGCCAGAAGTGCATATTTCGAAGAATATGAACCAAACAGTTCAGGTTCCCATTGACTTTGGACAAAAAAAAAAAAGAAATACAACAGAAGTAAATGGGAACTGAAACTGTTTGATTACCATTAAAGGGATAGTTCACCACAGAATGAAAATTACCACATGATTTACTCACCCTGAAGCCATTCTACGTGTATATGACTTTCTTCTTTCAGACGAATACAATCAGAGTTGCATTAAAAATGTCCTGGCTCTTCCAAGCTTTATAATAGCAGTGAATGGTGGTTGAGATTTTGAAGCCCAAAAACGTGCATCCATCCATCATAAAAAGTGCTCCACACGGCTCCGGGGTGTTAATAAAGGCGAATCGATGCATGTGTATTTCAAACTTTATAAATCGTAATCTCTAGCTTCCGCTAACTGTCATACTCGCCTCCACGGTGAGAAGTGACAAATGCGGTAGCGCAGAGGAAAGAGCAAAACAACGTTGGTCACGAATTAGAAGTACAAAATGAGGATTTGTTATGAAAAATGTCGGAGGATTTTAATATAAGCCAAGAGGAGACTGGTTTTCCTTTGCTGTAAACAAAACTTGGTTCTCATGAGACTAGCATTTTCTCATGAACACGTGCACGACAGTTAGTGGCTAGAGATTACTATGAAGGTAATTTAATGCTTAAAAGATCTGCATACGCAGGGTAAGAGTTGTGGAAGTGTACATAAGACTGTTAAGCGTAAATTAAATTTGCATGCGCAAGCGAAGCTTTGTAAAGGTGTAAATCGCATTTCAAGTGTAAGAAAAAATGATCTGCAGCATTTTACTGTTACTCGTAAGTGTAATTCATGTATTGTGAAACTGCAGCTTCATGCTAATGCAAAATAAATATGATCTGCATTCTTCTGACTTCCATTTTTCCGTGCTTACACTTTTGGCACATTGCTTTAATCAAGTTGTTATTTATTTATTTTAATTTTTAATGTATGTGTACGTTAAAAGTACCATTCTGGCAGCGAGAACGATCTGGAACTAAATGAAGATTAATGTTTTGGCATATGATTTGGCATATGTTTATTGAACCAATCGGATAAGAGTAAATGGAGAGTCAGCGAGAGCCTCATGTGATTGGCTACAAGAAGGTGGTGGACCCGTCCTCCCCCTCACGCTTGCAAAACTCAGTTAGTGAGAGAATCGTGCCAAAATTGTAAGCGCAGAGAAAAGAAAGACGGAGCTGTACATATCAGTTTATTTCGGGAACTTTTTGCCACACATGCACAATAAGTAATTTAGACATTTGCAACAGTTAGTTTTTTTACACATACAGATTGGTTCTATGCAGTCGATCCGTTTTGCAGTTCTTTAAACTGTTGTTTTCGCTTGCAAATCACTGTTCACAGGCTTGCAGTGCTTTTGACCGTATTTTCAGAAGCATGCAGATCATATTTATTTTGCGTTAGCATGAAGCTGCAGTTTCACAATACATGAATTACACTTACGAGTAACAGTAAAATGCTGCAGATCATTTTTTCTTACACTTGAAATGCGATTTACACCTTTACAAAGCTTCGCTTGCGCATGCAAATTTAATTTACGCTTAACAGTCTTATGTACACTTCCACAACTCTTACCCTGCGTATGCAGATCTTTTAAGCATTAAATTACCTTCATAGTAATCTCTAGCCACTAACTGTCGTGCACGTGTTCATGAGAAAATGCTAGTCTCATGAGAACCAAGTTTTGTTTACAGCAAAGGAAAACCAGTCTCCTCTTGGCTTATATTAAAATCCTCCGACATTTTTCATAACAAATCCTCATTTTGTACTTCTAATTCGTGACCAACGTTGTTTTGCTCTTTCCTCTGCGCTACCGCATTTGTCACTTCTCACCGTGGAGGCGAGTATGACAGTTAGCGGAAGCTAGAGATTACGATTTATAAAGTTTGAAATACACATGCATCGATTCGCCTTTATTAACACCCCGGAGCCGTGTGGAGCACTTTTTATGATGGATGGATGCACGTTTTTGGGCTTCAAAATCTCAACCACCATTCACTGCTATTATAAAGCTTGGAAGAGCCAGGACATTTTTAATATACTCTGATTGTATTCGTCTGAAAGAAGAAAGTCATATACACGTAGAATGGCTTCAGGGTGAGTAAATCATGTGGTAATTTTCATTCTGTGGTGAACTATCCCTTTAATGGTAATCAAACAGTTTCAGTTCCCATTTACTTCTGTTGTATTTCTTTTTTTTTTTTTGTCCAAAGTCAATGGGAACCTGAACTGTTTGGTTCATATTCTTCGAAATATGCACTTCTGGCCCACCGTAACATTTGGATGAACACTTTTCTCATGAATAATGTGCAATGATGAATTAGAAACACAATAAGACCAGGAATGTGTAAAAAACGATCTGGAACTAAATGAAGATTAATGTTTTGGCATATGATTTGGCATATGTTTATTGAACCAATCGGATAAGAGTAAATGGAGAGTCAGCGAGAGCCTCATGTGATTGGCTACAAGAAGGTGGTGGACCCGTCCTCCCCCTCACGCTTGCAAAACTCAGTTAGTGAGAGAATCGTGCCAAAATTGTAAGCGCAGAGAAAAGAAAGACGGAGCTGTACATATCAGTTTATTTCGGGAACTTTTTGCCACACATGCACAATAAGTAATTTAGACATTTGCAACAGTTAGTTTTTTTACACATACAGATTGGTTCTATGCAGTCGATCCGTTTTGCAGTTCTTTAAACTGTTGTTTTCGCTTGCAAATCACTGTTCACAGGCTTGCAGTACTTTTGACCGTATTTTAGCGAAAACAACGTGCCAAAAGTGTAAGCGCGGAAAAATGGAAGTCAGAAGAATGCAGATCATATTTATTTTACGTTAGCATGAAGCTGCAGTTTAACAATACTTGAATAACACTTACGAGTAACAGTGAAATGCTGCAAATAATTTTTTCTTACGCTTGAAACGCGATTTACACCTTTACAAAGCTTCTCTTGAGCATGCAAATTTAATTTACGCTTACAATCTTATGTACACTTCCACAACTCTTATGCTGAGTATGCAAATCTTTTAGGCATTAAATTACCTTCATAGATTACGGTTTATAAAGTTTTAAATATGGATTTTTTTCTTACACAAACACATCGCTTCACTTCAGAAGCCAGGCCATTTTTTTATATAACTCTGATTGGATTTGTCTGAAAGAAGAAAGTCATATACGCCTACTGTAGGATGGCTTGAGGGTGAGTAAATCATGGGGTAATTTTTATTTTGGGTAAACTATCCTTTTAACAATCTTCAAAATATCTTTGTTGTGTTCTGAAGAAGAAGGAAATGCATACAGGTTTGGACCATCATGAGGACAGAGTTCATTGCTTGGGTGAACTATCCCTTAAACTAACGACAATCCAGCTACTTATTTGTTAGTTTCTTATCAATGCAATAATCTCCCATTTGTATAATGCAATGATTCATTTAATTATCCATATTTTTAATTCTACTTTAAAGTCTACTTTAAAGTACCACCTGTAAGGGGTGCATTAAATCTGACAAAGTAGTTTAATAAAAGGGTCCAGTGGTCTAAGGACATCCAAGGATATATTGTACCAATCTTTTTTTAATGGACAATTGAATTTTGCATGTAATAATACTACTTTTGAATGAGTCAATTTAAGTCAGTCTTTCTCTACCCTTTTTAATTGTGCAGTAAATCTAACATACTGGCATCTTGAATTCTAGAAAATTCCAAGTTTTGAACACTTTTACTGTGCCAATCTAGTTTTATAATCACTTTAACTTCCCATATGGGACAATACAGGCATCCTATTGCACCATCAACCCATTTCATTGTGCCATTTCTCAATCACAATAGAGAGCATGTTAAAGTTAACATAAGTGCTTCATACTAGTGAAAATGACTTAGTGAAATCTAAATATTAAACCGTTTTTACTGAACCAATCTTTTTTATAAACACTTCATACTAGGGGTAGCTGACTAACGAAATCCAAATATTGATACCAATTTTTTATGAACCCTTTTTTTACTACCACTTTAACTGTTAGCCCAAACTTTATCAGGTTAATTCTGAATGATTTACAACCCTGTTGAAACTCCATATAGCCGCATTTAACTGCAATATATTTGCTTGAAATTGTTGCACCACCCTCTTATTTCTCCACCTTCCAACCACCTGTCATATAGAGACAACTTTAGGTCAATCAAGCAATCAATTTCCAATGAATAAAATCAAGTCTGGTCCTATATCTTTCTTAAGGACATTCGAATAGGAAACAAATACTATGTTAAATGCATTAGAATATAAATCATGTTTCACTCTTAAATGTCACATTACAAATAAAATGAGTTTCATGTTGACTTTAGAACGGAAACAGAAATATAAGCATGCGAAGACGATCAGATGAGAACAGAAATTTGTGTTGGATGAACTCACTGACACACAGCACGTGCAACTGTAGTCATTCACAAAAAGGATGAGGAGGACAGGCTTGCAAACATCTTCATGACCACTTACTTAAAATAAAATCAAGCTTTTTATTGGACTACTTTTAAAAAGTAGTAATCACCACTATTTTCTTTCATAAAAGCCACACTGTGCAGTGAGGAGATTAATGAGCGTTGTGAGGCATCTGTGGTCAACCTCAGAAACTTCCTGAACCAGCATGTGGAGAAACCCTGAGGTTTGACACCGTTTCCAAAGCTTATGGATTTGGGACCAGGCCACTGAGTTTCTCCAATGCATGAAAAACCAACAGAGAACTGCGAGGCATCCGACATCTGTTCAGAGCTCTTTCATGATTCATTGTTTTGTCTCTACAAAGAACATCTGTAGTCATATATTTGACTGGTCAACTCTATGAAATGACGCACTGCTTTGATAAACAGAGGTTGGCCAGCACAGATAACCAGTACAAGTGCTGTTTTGCTTCAAGTCATGACGCAATTTGTCACAACATGGTTTATAGATGGTGCTGAGGCTAAACCCTTGCACAGAAACTGATATTGTGAGTTCTTAATAATGTGCTATAAATAGTTTGTGCACAAAACAGCTGTTGAGATAGTATTCTCAATTGCAATGGAATCAAGGCTTGGACCCAAAAACAGTATTTAATTTGTCACGACTTAAGCAAGTTGCCGTTAGCATGTCGCTTCTAATGTCCCACTAAACAAACTATACTTGTATTAATAAGACATTAAGAGTGCATAGAGTGCTATAGGGATGGCATATTCTTCAGCGAACCGAAAAGTTTGCATCACCGTGATTTACTCAATAAAACCTAATAAGATTTTCCAATTGGCTTTCGGATTATTGCAGAAAATTAGCTCTGTGACCAACAAAAGTTTGTGACTCCTGCATGTTATATTCACCATAATAATATTCACAAATTAACACAACTTTTATGAATAATAATAATGAATTTTGAAACACAATCACCAGAATTCAAAACGAAAAGTTTTAAAATTCAAACTTATTTCCAGATTTTGGCCTACAAAAACATGTCATCCTTCCAGCAATCTTTTGTGGTTTTGTCTATTGACTACTCAAATTACACAGATTCATTTTTGCCATTAAAGGTGGGGTATGTATTTTTTCTAAAATGCTTTTCTAAAACAAACTTGTAGCCAATCAGCAGTAAGGGGCGTGTCTACTCATGATGCGGAGGAGAGAGTGTTCAGTGCACAGGACGGACATTAGCCGAGCCGAGCAACAGAAAGATAGAGATGGCGGATAAAAAACAAAAGAGGAAAACGTCTGCGGAACAAAATAAGGCTTGAGGCAATAAGGCAAGAGGTAGGACCCGTGTAAATATCGGATCAGCTTTCCAGCGCTGGAGAGAACTCAAGGAGCGGGAAGGCTTGCGATCGGACACCGAGGTTGCTTTGTTTCTTCTCGATAGGTGAGTAACATTGGTTTTGCTTTGTTTCAAAGAACTAATATATGCTGTTAAAACACATATATGCACGTTAAAACACACAGTACTACCAAAACACATTACCATAGTAACACATTGCTTTCACTTATTGATCGATATCATACCCTCGGCCGACTGGCACAGCAGATTCCGCCATAATCGTTGCCTGGGTTGCGTATGTATGTGTGGGTGGAGCTATCAAAATAGGGTCGAGACCATTTTGGGGAAGGGGCGTGTTTGTTTTGGTGATTTGAAATATCAACATTGGCTACCAGAAATCACTTACCCCGCCTTTAATAGTGTACCATAGAGACGCATAATTCAGAGTCTGAGGAGAACAGCTCAGAGTAGGACGTCCCGGGTTGTCATCTAATTATGTCATGGCATTAACACAGCATTTATAATCAACATTACGCTTGACTCAGTCAATGCATTCTGGGATTGTCATTTTATTATTAGGTCACAATGAGCAGCGGTTTTTCATACAGTGCTCGCTGTTGTCTTCATAGGACAGTAAGCCTGCTGTTGAGGAATTCCAGTAAGAGTTATTTCGAGAGCATTACAGAGAAAAAAAATATGGATACAAATCTGTGACTAAAAGTGATCTACATGGCTTACACTATGTAGTAATGGGTGTGTATAGGTGTGTGTGAGCAGGCAACCACGCGTGGGGCAAAACCACTCACCATCTGCCCCCTTTCACCCAGTCCAGCTGAGGATGAACTCAGGGCTGGTAGCGAAACCTCACTGAAGGCGTCTGCTGGGGCAACAGTGACATCACTGATCAAACAAACACTAGTGCTTCTCATTTTCTTATGCTTATGAGCTCGATGAAGTGAGAGTCTGTTGGACCAACCAATTAATGTTTGAAAAGCTGCATAAATATACGCTGTTAAAAATAAAGGTATTAATGGTTCCATCAAGAATCTTTAACATTTATGGAACCGTTCCATTGAAAAAAAAAGGTTCTTTATGGTGGACAAAGTTTCTTTAGGCTAATCACACAAACGGTTCTTAATGATAGGGATAGTTCACCCAAAAATTTAAATTTGCAGCGATTTTGCAGTCAATGGCTACCCTCACTTATAAGCATATCAGGCAGCTCAAAATTAATACCCATGGCTCTTGACGATATATTAAAGGGGACATACAGTTTTGCCCCATCTCATGTTAACCTTGAGTACCTATAGTACTGCATCCTTCATATCTCCAAAAAGATATGAGTCTAATATTCCATAAGTACTATATTTATAAAAGCAAGATACAGATTTACGATTCTCTCTGAAAACAGCCAAGCTTCTGGAGGCGCGCTGTGGGCGGAGCTAAAGAGGCGCGAACACTTGCGCGCCGACTGCCAACAAAACGCCTGCGGTTCCGAATCATGACCGGGATCTTTTATCACTGGGACCGCTCCATCTTTCAGTATCAAACAATGTGCAAATCCAGCATCAAACTGGGCTTTGTTTATGAAACATTCATCACCGAAATAAACAACCAAACACACTTGCAAAACTCTGTTTCTAGAAAAACAAATTGCATTCACGTAATGTTACGTAACAATGTGTTCTTTGGGAAGCTGAACAAGTTTATCTTTCCCCTACATCCAAAGAAAAACTTCTTTGGAGACATTCTTCTCGAGCAAGTCCTGTGCAGCGCTGCCAATGACGCTGATGGGCGTGTTCTTGCTCTTTATGCAGACTGGTTCTTTCAGACAGTTTGTTTCAATGAACTGGTTCAAAATTAACTGGTTCAAAACTGATTCACCAGTTAATTTACATAATCAAGCAGTTATATTATTAAAGCACCCAAAAAGGATGTGAGAAACAGATATTTTACATCTCTGAAGCATATAAAGTGAATAAACTAGTTTAATCAATGCCTTTTTACAGAGAGGTCCAAGTCAGAACTTTTTTTTTTTTTTCTCGGATCAGCGACTGTTGGAGTAACTGATGCACTGAATGAGTTGGCAAAAACCGGCATCATAGGATCATATACGCTGGTAATTGGATCATTTTGAGTCGGAGTGACTGTCAGGAATGTCTGATAATGAGTTTTGATTGAGTAACATATAGATCTTTGCTGTTCGAGCCACAAACTGTTCACACAGTTCAGTCTGATTTGGTGTACTGGTTCAAGTAGTTCACTAAAAAGAACCAGTTGAAAGGAATGATTCGTTTGTGAACCAATCACCTCTCCGGACCGTTTGACTGAGGCTCTGGATTACAGGTAATAATGTTGTAAATGTTCAGTTTCTTGCACAGACTGATTGATTCGCTTCATAAGATCTCAATATATTGTCAGGAGCCACAGGTATTAATTTTGTGTTGTCTGATATGCTTTTTTTGACTCTCAAAGTGACGGTAGTCTCTAACTTATATTTAATGAATCACCAAGGACCACGGTTTCAGCTAAAATTCTTCTTTATTGTTCTACTGACAAAAAAAAAAGTCACCTACATCTTGGATGGCCTGAGAGTAGGTAAATTAACAGCAAATTTTCATATGTGGGTGATCTATCCCTTAAAGAACTGTCCACTGAAAAATTCTTTGAGAAACCAAAATGGTTCTTCTATGACATCGTGAAAACCCCTTATTGAAACCTTTATTTTTTAAAAGTGTATTTTATTCTCTCCATGGTATTCTGAAGGTAAAGCTGTTTGCATATTTGCAATATAAATGACAATGTCATCTGCATATCTTGGCTCTAATCTAATCAATTTTGAACTAATTTGAACCAAAACACCCCAGAGTCCATGTTACCTCAATTGCAACATGGATCAATTATCCAACTGAGCCTGGCAGACTACAGCAGCCGCAGATATATCATCTCCCTCACATTGATTTGGCCTTTCATATATTTGGCACCATGCTCTTCTTGGCCCCTCAAAATGCCAGCTATGTGCAATTACTGTTGGAATGCTGAACAAAAGCCGTGCCGTGTCTCTGTGCTGGATTTAGTCCCACCCTGGCGTAGCTGGAACTAGGTCACCATGTACTGCTGCAGCTGTGAGACGCTACAGAGCCGAGAGTAGTGGCCCCGACTTTGGTGTGGGCCAGTAGCAAGCATTGTGGTGTCTGAGATTGACTAACATGGGTCAAAACAGGCATGGTAGTTACACTAGCTGTTAAAATCTTGCGATCTATCCTTTTTAACAGTCAGTTCAAACAAACTGTCCAAGTACATTTTGAAGTTAGCATCTTTGAACATGCTTCCATAAGTCATGCCAACTCATAATAACTCGTAACACAGAAAACCCACATTTAATAGACATCTTCCTTTTACCTTTAATTCTTCTTCCATGTCTGAAACCGTCTTCTCCAAAGCTTCTTTTTCCTACACAAGCACAGA